CCTGTGCTGTAAGAAGCTGAGAATTTTGGGAATGCCCTTCCACAATATCAGAAACATCCTGAAAATGGTGAACCTGGACTGTATCCAGGAGGTGGAAGTGAATTGCAGTTGGATACTGCCCATCCTGACACAGTTTACCCCATACCTGGGCCAGATGAGGAATCTTCAGAAGCTCGATCTCTCCCACGTGGACGTCTCTCACTACGTTTCCACAAAGCAGAAGGAGTTTGTTACCCAGTTCACCTCTCAGTTCCTCAAGCTGCACTACCTCCAAAAGCTTTATATGAACTCTGTATCTTTCCTCGAAGGCCACCTGGACCAGCTGCTCAGGTGAGCGAGGGGGATGAGCTTCCTCTGCAGACCACAGCAGAGCCTATGTTACAGTAAACGCTAGTGGGCATCTACTGTGAGCCAGCCCATGAGGATGTAACAGTGAAGGGGACACTAGAATGTCCACGTATTGTCCCGTTGGTGGCTCTGTCCTGAAATGGGTTTCACACAACCATCCCAATAGAGGTAGGTGAGGTATCTGGGATTACAGGCGTGGGCCACCACACCTGGCTAATTTTTACATTTTAAGTAGAGACAGGGTGTCACCACGTTGACCAGGCTATCTGCAAACTCCTGACCTCAGGTGATCCACCCGCCTTGAGGTCCCAAAGTGCTGGGATTATAGGCGTGAGCCACTGCGCCCAGCCAACAAGATAATTTTTGAGGAGATGATGAGAAGTGGGGAAGTGAAGTGGGCACCGAAGAGGGGGATGCTCAGCAAACCTGCACATTTCAGAATATCAGCTTTGTGCCCCACAGCTTGGTAAGCACGAATGATCCCATCTCTATCCCTGTTGTAATAGGTTGCTTTGAGCTCCAGGTAAATTAATTACCTAGGAAATGCATGATTCTGAAACAGAGGGTCAGGGAGCAGGCAGAAAGAATAGTGAAAGTGATAGATGGTTTGCTGATGATACAGGTGTGTCAGGGATGCCTGCAGCCTGCCCACCCCAGCTGATGTTGCAGGATCCAGTCTGGGTTTGTCCCTTCTGCCTGTGTCTCCACTGGGCTCGTGTGGCCCAGAGATGTGGTTTTCTGCCTGACAGACGAGGAAAGGGAGCTTTAGGGATTCTGTGAACTTGATCCATTCCATAAATGATGGTGAAAAGACTCAGCCTCAAATGGATTTTTTTTTTTTTATACATAGTCTCACCCTGTCACCCAGGCTGGAGTGCAGTGGCAGGATTTCTGCTCTCTGCAACCTCCACCTCCTAGGTTCCAGCGATTCTCCTGCCTCAGCCTCCCAAGTAGCTGGAATTGTAGGCACCAGCCACCACACTTGGCTAATTTTTGCATTTTTAGTAGAGGGGGGTTTTGGCATGATCGCCAGGCTGGTCTCAAACTCCTGACTTCAAGTAATCCGCCAGGCTCAGCCTCCCAAATTCTGGGATTACAGGCGTGAGTTACTGCTCCGGGCCCAAAATGGAAGTGACCTCAATGACAAAGCTCTTCATCACGCAGCATCCTAAGTGTTGACCAGACAATCAGAATGACCCTGGGCTTGGGCAAAATGGTCTTCATCCTTCACCTTGACATTCTCCACCACCCTCCACTCACCCCTATGATTCTCCAGAACTAACTTCTTGCTCTCTCTCCCCAGCTGTCTGAAGACCCCGTTAAAGATCCTCGCAATAACTAACTGTGTGCTTTTGGAATCAGACTTGAGGCATCTGTCCCAGTGCCCGAGTGTCAGTCAACTAAAGACCCTGGACCTGAGGGGCATCAGACTGGCCAATTTATGTCTTGTGCCTCTCCAAGTTCTGCTAGGAAAAGTTGCAGCCACCCTTGAGTACCTGGGCTTAGATGACTGTGGCATCGTAGACTCCCAAGTCAACACCATCCTGCCTGCCCTGAGCCGCTGCTTTGAGCTCACCACCTTCAGCTTCTGTGGAAATCCCATCTCCATGGCCACCCTGGAGAACCTGCTGTGCCACACAATCAGACTCAACAACTTATGCCTGGAGCTGTATCCTGCCCCGCGGGACAGTTATGATGCTGGTGGTACTCTCTGCTGGCGCAGATTTGCCCAACTTCGGGCTGAGCTGATGGGGAGAGTGAGGGACTTACGGCACCCCAAGAGGATCTTGTTCTGTACTGACTACTGTGCTGACTGTGGCAACAGGACATTTTATGGCCTGGAGGTAGATCAGTGCTGCTGTTGAATACCTGCCTATTTGGGTGGATATATCAAATGCTTTCTTCTGGACACTTGAAAACTAAAACCTAGGTCTTACATACATCCTAAAGGGAGCACAGAAACCACCGTTTCAGACACTGGCTCTGAAGTGGGAAAGGAAAGGTGATCAAGCAGTGGCCGGACTTGGGGGAAATGTTGACATGGATTCAATGGGACTTTGGGGACCTGTGTCCTATAGAGTCAAAAATGGGAATGGGAATGTCTAGAGTGGAATTCAGGCTTGAGAATACATGAGGGAGTTCCCCTTCCATGGATGGTTGTAAAGAAACAGTCAGAAATAAAAAGAAACTAAGTGGAAACTATCTGGTGCCCTCTGTTGTCAAGTAACCTGCTTTCCAGTTTAAGTCCCAGGAATCTTCAGTTATTGATGGAAAAAAAAGGCACTGAGTTGTCCAATCAATAAGATGCAGCCCCAGAAAATCAAGGCATTTAAATGAAATTTGGTTATTTTAATCAATTTCCTTCCTTTTTTTTTTTTGAGACAGAGTTTCACTTTTGTTGCCCAGGCTGTAATGTGGAGTGCAATTGACATCTCAGATCACTGCAACCTCCATCTCCACGGTTTAAGAGATTCTCCAACCTCAGTCTCCCAAGTAGCTGGAATTACAGGCATGTGCCACCATGCCCAGCTCATTTTTGTATTTTTAGTACAGACAGAGTTTCATCACTATGTTGGTCAGGCTGGTCTCAAACTCCTGACTTCAGGTGATCCACCCAACTCGGCCTCCCAAAGTGCTGGGATTCCAGGTGTGAGACACTGCGTCTAGCTATTTTTTTGTTTGTTTTTTAAAGGTGTTGTTCTGTCACCCGGGCTAGAGTGCAGTGGCACAATCATAGCTTACTGCAGCCTCAATCTCCTGGGTTCAAGCGATCCTCCCACCTCAGCCTCCTGAGTAGCTAAGACTACAGGTATGTGAGTCACCACGCCTGGATTCTTTTTTAGTAGAGACAAGGTCTTGCTATCTTGCCCAGGCTGATTTGGAACTCCTGAGCTCAAGTGATTCTCCTGCCTTGGCCTCCTAAAGTGCAGGGATTATAAGTATTGGCCTCCTCCAGTTCTTCACTTCTCTTTATACATCTGTTACCTCCTTGTTAGTTTCTGTGGCGGTTCAGTGGGTTAATACTGGTGGACACCCAGGGCCTGGAATATTAGTGGGCAAGAACAGCAAGCCAATCCACATGGAAAGCACCCTCTTCTCAGGGTCTTTCACTGCTCGCCAGATGCTGAGACCCTGGCCACTCCTTGTGAGTCTCCACATGGTTCCAGAAGCCTTAGTTGGTGGACGCACAAGGAGCCACTCTATTCCCGCTGCCCTGGAAGGGGATGTCCATATTGTGTATTAGCTGGAGCCTCTGGGCGGCACCAACCCTTGCTTGTTCCCCTGATGACTAGCAGCCCTTCTTGAATTAAACTGGTTGTAGCCAGTAAAGACAGCCACATTCCCTTTAAATAAAATACTAAAACTATACAGGCATGTAACACTTTTAAAATATTTCCATCTGACATTTAAAAAGATACATCTTTTGGGGAAGCTAGGTCAGATCGATGAAAGATTTTCTCATAACACCTTCCTTCTCTCCCTATCAAGGAAGAGACTAGTGCAGCGTGTTTTGGAATCACACATCATCCAAGGGTGGAGAACGATCAAATGCCTGTGGGTGATGAGTGACCTCCCTGTGCTGAGGAAGCCTGCATAATGGGCACCCAAGTGAAGGATCCTGCTGAGGATTCAGGGGCTGGTGTTGCTGTCAGGGATCTTAGCCAAGAGCCTCAGATTCCCTGTAAAATGAGGATGATGTTGTCCAACAGCTTACAGGACCCTAGTAGGATCCAATAAGATGGTTTATGTTTAGGGCTTGGTACAGGGCCTGGCACATAGTAATATCAATACATCTTGATCTTTTTTCTCTTCTTAGCAGAAGTCCCAGCGTTTTCCACGTTTCAATCTCATCTCCTATTCCTGATAACAGGGAGGAAACAAGAGCCCAGGGCCTGCAATGGGACTCAGCTTCTTCAAGTCACCACAAATTTCATCATGATTCCCCCTAACAGCGGAGCCCCAGGAGCCAGCAGGGGGCAGGGCAGGCCGTTCAGCGCTGGATTCATTCCTAATAAGATAAAAATTTCCAGTCTGTGGGTCTCGGGTGCCATTTGCTCTTAGATCAGACCATATGGTATAATTTAGTGTTGCAAGGACTATATTTTACAGTATTTTTAAAAATTTCCTCTTATGAGCTAGGTGCGGTGGCTCATGCCTGTAATCCCAACACTTTGGGAAGCCGAGGCAGGTGGATCACTTCAGATCAGGAGTTTGAGACCAGCCTGGCCAACATGGTGAAATCCCGTCTCTACTAAAAATACAAAAAATTAGCTGGGCATTGTGGCACTCGCCTGTAATCCCAGCGATTGGGAAGGCTGAGGCAGAACATTTGGTTGAACCCTGGAGGTGAAGGTTGCAGGGAGCCAGGATCATGCCACTGCACTCCAGCCTGGGTGACAGAACAAGAAAAAAATAATTTACTACAATGTAAATATTATTTAAGTATAAAGATTTGTGTTGTAATTTATGTATATGAACGATATAGAACTTTCAAAGAATGCAATGTGGTATTTTAAGAATGGTTAATGGCCAGGTGTGGTGGCTCACGCCTGTAATCCCAGGACTTTGGGAAGCTGAGGCAGGCAGATCACGAGGTCAGGAGTTGGAGACCAGGCTGGCCAACATGGTGAAACCCCGTCTCTACTAAAAATACAAAAAATTAGCTGGGCGTGGTGACGGGCACCTGTAATCCCAGATACTCAGGAGGCTGAAGCAAGAGAAAGAGAATCGCTTGAACCTGGGAGGCAGAGGTTGCAGTGAGCCGAGATCGCGCCACTGCAGTCCAGCCTGGGTGAAAGAGGAGGACTCCGTCTCAAGCGGGGGCAGAAAAAGAATACTTAACTTGGTTTGGAATCTCAAAACAAATGAGATTTTAAAACTAATTTTAAAGACACTGAACAATAATCCTTTCTTCTTTAAAATATATTTAGAATAACACAATTTTAGCTTTGAAAGGAAACATGACAGTTTTTAAAAATATTGAGTTTATTTTATTTTAATTTAAGACAAGTTCTCACTCTGTCATCCAGGTTGGAGTGCAGTGGCATGATCACGGCTCACTGCAGCCTCAACCTCCCAGGCTCAGGTGATATTCCTGCTTCATTTCCCCTAATAGCTGGAACAACAGGCATGAACCATCATACCTGGATTATTTTTGTATTTTTAGTGGAGACCAGGTTTCACCATGTTGCCCAGGCTGGTCTTGAACTTCTGGGCTCAAGTGATCCACCTGCCTCGACCTCCCAAACTGCTGAGAGTTAGCCCTTAAAGGCGTGAGCCACCACACCCAGCCCTAGGTTTATTTGTTTGTTTGTTTGTTTGTTTGTTTATGTTGGAGATGGAGTCTCACTCTGTTTCCCAGGCTGGAGCACAGTGGCATGATCTCAGCTCACTGCATCCTCCACAATCCAGGGTTCAGGTGGTTCTCCTGCCTCAGCCTCCTGAGGAGCTGGGATTACAGGCATGTGCCACCATACCTGGTTAGTTTTGGTAGTAGTATTAGTATTTTTTAGTAGAGACGGGGTTTCACCATGTTGGCCGGGCTGGTCTCGAACCCCTGACCTCAGGTGATGTGCCTGGCTCAGCCTCCCAAAGTGCTAGGACTACAGGCGTGAGCCACCATGCCCGGCCTATTTTTTTCTTTATAGCAGTTTTAGATTCACAGAGAAACTAAGCAGAAAGTCCAGAGTTCTCATCTATCCCCTTCCTCCTTCAATATACAGCACCCCCACAGGATCAACACCCACATCGGCGCAGAGCATTCGGCACAGTCAATCAGCCACATGGACACATCACTATCACCCAATGTCTATAGTTTACATGACGGATCATTGCTGGTTTTTACATTCTATGGATTTTAACAAAGGGATAATGGCATGTATCCACCATTAGAGCATCATGCAGAGTCGTTTTGTTTCCCTAAAAGTCCTCTGTCCTCTTCCCATTCATCCCACTGTACTCCCAACCCGTGGCAACCACTGGACTTTCTACCATCTCCATAGAAAAAGGCAAAAGTCTTTTCCGGAATGTCTAACAGGATGAGTCTTTTCACATCGCCTTCTTTCACTTGTACCATAACGTGCATTTAGGAATCTCTCATGTCTTTTTATGGCTTCAGAATAGCTCACTGACTGGATAGTCACTGACTGAAGGGCATCTTGCTTGCTTCCAAGTTTTGGCGATTATGAATAAAGTTGCTATAAACATCCAGGTGTGGGTTTACTCATTTTGTTAAATACCGAGGACTATGATTACCAAATTGTAGGGGAATGGTATGTTTTACAAGGATTTTTTCTTTATTGACAATCTCACTTGTTCGGTATCACTGCTAAAGGTCAGGAACTTTGTCATCCTGGGGTCCCACTGCTGAGCAGGGAACCTGGCACTCGGTAGCAAATGCTGTTGACCACGTGATGCATGGAAGTGTTTGTCATCAGTATAGCCACTAAATTGCTAACTTAGGGATGTCAACAGCTCGCTACCAATAAGAGAAATAAATTGGATTATGGGAAAAAAAGCCCTTTTGATACTGTGGCTACTCCATGTGTGTCATGAAAGTCCAGCAATTGGCCAGGCGCAGTGGCTCACGTCTGTAATCCCAGCACTTTGGGAGGCTGAAGCAGGCGGATCACTTTAGGTCGGGAGATTGAGACCAGCCTGGCCAACATGGTTGAAACCGTGTCTCTATTCAAAATACAAAAATTAACTGGGCGTGGTGGCACATACCTGTAGTCCAAGCTACTGGGGAGGCTGAGGGAGGACAATTGCTTGACCCAGGAGGTGGAGGTTGCGGTGACTGAAGATTGTGCCACTGCACTCCAGCCTGGGCAGCAGAGCGAGACACCATAACAAGAAAAAGAAAAACAAAACAAAAGGAAGTCCAGCATGGTAAGAGGTACATAGAGGCACATGTGGGTGAGCTTCATTTGTTTTCCATCCTTTTGCCTTTCTCTGGACAGAATTCTCAATGCAAAACATTCCAAAAACACAGAGCAAATATCTCCTCTAATCTTCCCGTTATCCCAGACTTCTCTCCAGCATATATGTGCTAGTGTCTTCCAGATATTTCTGTGACTTGCTACACAGAAGATCAGATCAAATGGACATGTGCCTAAAAAGGTGGTGACTTGCCAGATCTGGACTCACTTTGCAGGGTGCTGGGACCTCTCCGAGAACCAAGCGGTAGC